AAAATAATGTTTAAATTTTACAATGAAAATATTAATATATCGTGAGTTAATTTTCTAAGCATCGATCAGCAAACATTTCTAACACTTACCTTCCATTTTTCAGCGCATTTCTTAGAAAATTCACTAAAAATAACATTTTCAGTTGGATGCTTTTTCCAATGTTCCTCACGTATAACTTGAACAAAACATGCATATGGAGTCATTGGTGGTTTTGGACGATTCTTATCCTTCACCATCATTGCTACCAGTATGATGTCAAGGCTAGAATGAATCACTTGAAACTGTGTGTCAATAATAACAACGACAACAACAAGAACAAAAGAGAGAAAGAAACCCATTCACAATTGGATGACAACATCATTAGGTGTACAATCACACAAATGGAAAATTTAATTCTACACAAGAAACATCTTAAACATACATTAAACTGAGTTTTGAGTAGTCATCCTATAGTTCTTGTATTAACTATTACCCTGGTTAGAATTCCTCTAAGCATTCAAGGTGAATACAACAATGGTTAAGCCCTCTCTTGGTTATAAATAAGAAATTAATCCACAGAGTGATATTCTACACTACGCTTTTGATAAGTTCAACTTCATGCTTCAATATCCATAGTTCAGTTGGAAGAGCATCATGTCGGAAACCAGATAGTCACTGGTTCGAATCTGACCACGGTATAAATTTTCGTCTCACGTTCAGTCATCACCCAGTCTGACAAACCACAGATGCTATCTCACTCAGATAGTCAAAATGATAATATATTCACTCTGTTAAAGTGAAATAACTTAACAGACTGTTAATACATAGACGTAAAACATCGGCACTGTAATCGCTCGTAGTTTCATTTTACTCTGTTGATTAGATGTATCAGATAGAGTGGAACAGTATTATTATGTACTGGATAAGGTCTTCGACATAATCTATTATCCATAGTCATATCAAGATGACTGCACAACTTTGAGACATCCTTTACATAGTCCTAATTTCTTCGCCCACTTTGTGATATGTGTAGTAGAATTGTGCACATCCCCCAGAAAGGTGCAGAATCATTCCCATTGTATGTAATTAGTGTTGATTAGGATAAACAGAGATTCTGTTACCAATCTCTCCCCTCATCATTATTATTCTACTCTATTCTGTACAACTGCATGCATAGAGCTATAGCTGAGCTTTACTCTAGCTTCCTTATCTTATTAGGACCTAGTAACCTTGAGTTAGCTCAGCTTTTGTACTCTGTTATTCTAATTGGCGTTGATCGATTACTTTGATGCATGCATTTCACCTCGCAAGGAATCCGGTAGGCTAAATCAGAAATAAGCTTTGTAGGCTTACAAAATCCTATTCATCCAATTAGACAGAATAATTCGCTTTACGAAATACTTTGCAATGATCACTAAGTCAAATGTATAGGTCAAAGTAGTCGACCAGGATCAATTAGCCTATCTGAGCACAAAACACTTAGCTAGATGAAAATTAGTAGATCCTAGCAAGGTTGGGAATCTAAATAAAACTTCGACCATGGCTATACATGTGATTACACCCAACCATGCAGAAGGAATGAGACTGAGTAACTCCATTGAGAACTAACTTAGTTAGGTACATAGAGGGAGAGATTGATAACCGAGTGAATCTTTGCACATCGAATCAGCATCAAATACATGTAGTAATAGAAATGATTCTGCACATGTTTCAGATATATGGAAAATCCTACTACCCACATCACAAAGTGGGTGAGGAAATTAGCACTACATAAGGTATGTCTCAAATTTGTATACTTACATGATATGAATGCGGACAATAAATTGTGTCTAAAGCGGTATCTAATACATAAGACTGTTTCATTGTATGGCATTTCTAATGAACACAGATTGAAATGAACTTAAAGGACTGTTTTCAACAAAATTAATGCATAGATTGTATTCTAAATGAAGCCTTTAACATAACATAAGGTCAAGTTGTTGATTCGATTATTTTTCAGTGCAATGAAAACAAGAAAAGTAGGTCTATCTGACATAAAGTGGACGCATAACTTATAGTTTTCCATTGGACACATGTGTGATGGATAAACTGTCATTGCTAGCCACTTTATTGTGCATATATTAACTCACCTGCTCTTGTGGAGCCAGATACACAGGCCGTAAATGCAGAGATAGATTGTCTGACGTTGATGCCAACAACATCCGGCATGGCTCTGTACAGCTCAACGGAAATCAATTAACAGCTCCCATATCCCACCTAGCCACCCCAGCAAAGTGTTTAGCCGCATCATCCTGGAGGGACTAAAGGATGCACTGAACTCAAGATTACGACCAGAACACGCTGGCTGGATTCAGGAAGTACAAATCGCGTGCGGATCAAATTACAACGCTAGACTACGCATCATCATAGAACAGAGTAGATAATGGCAGTCAACTCAACTCTACCTCAACTTCATCGACTTTGAAACGGCCTTTGACAGCGTCGACCTGGAAGTAATTTGGCAGTTGCTTCAACAATGCGTAGTGCCACAAATCTTTATCAACCTCGTTCAACAGCTATATGAAGACGCCACATGCCAAACGATTCACAATGGGAAGCTCAGTGATGCCTTTGAAGTAAAGATGGGGACGGGAGTAAGATAAGGCTGCCTACTATTATCCATGATCTTCCTGATTGTGGTCAACTCGACTGGACTGGATCATACAGCAAATTGTGAGGAGGCATGAGAAGATGGGGATACAATGGCTGCACCGATGCAAAGACCGGAGAAGAAGATTTGGATTTCTCTGACGGTAATTTTTATCTAATGTCTTATGTCGCACAAAATCGAAGATGTACAGGCAAAAACTAACAAGTTGACAGAGGAAGCGACGCAGGACAACGAAGGACGACAGAACTTCAAGTGCATGAATAGAAGACAGAGGTGATGGAGATACCCAATCAACAATAGCATCAACAACAAGCGCCAATCACCATGAACGGGAGAAATGTAAACGAAGTTGTCTCTCCCACCTATCTAGACGGCGACACAGACGAGGATGTCACAGAAGCCATGATCGGTAAGACAGCAAGAGAGGCTTTCATTAATCAGAAAGCAGTCAGTGTGGAGATCTACTGCACTGCACTACACTCAGCATAGAGCATGAAAAACATTCGGATTTTCAACACTAATTCAGTCGTCAGTCAGTGCTTCTATGTGATGGTTCAGAAACTTGGAGTGTTACGGAAGGGATTTCCAACAAACTAAAGATATTCATCAACAACTGTCACTTACGCTCACTCCATACTGAAGATCAGGTGGCCAGAATAATAAGAATAAGCAACAAGAAACTCTGGCTAGCTGGGAACGAACCAACAAAGCAAAGAACTATCACTCAACAAATATGCAGTGAAAGGAAGTAGAGATCGATTGGGCATACACTGAGAAGACCGATTGGCGACATCAGAAACCAGGCCAGGTCGTCGAGTGGAACGCAGATGGGAAACGACGAGTTGGACGTTCGCGGTGGGGGTGACATGGAGGAGATCGCATGCGGAAGAGATGAAAGGTTGTTGTCAGTCGTTGTACGAGGTTCAGAAGACTGCAGAGAAGAGAGTGGAATGGAAGCGTGGTACTGAATTCCTATGTTCCACTAGCAAACCAAGGGAAAATAATAATAATAATATTAATGATAATAGTCGTGAAGGAAAATAACTCACATCGGTTGGGAGATGTTACTTATCCAGCCATACAGCATTGCAAACAACTCACTGTTATCCAAAGTTGTTTAGCATGACGGTTGCTGTACACTGTTACAATGCCCGACAGAACTTGGGTCACACTCTAACGTGGATAACATGTCAAATATCAAGCAAAACTGAGTGATTAAGTAGTCCTACATGTTGACGACTAGCTTAAACGCATCCCACGAAAGGGAATCAAGAAATGCAGTGCTGCCTAAATCATTCAAGTGTTTGTAACAGGTAATTTCGTATACTTTTCATGGTAAGGATATCTTCGTTTCACACCAAAGACTTACAAAGACACATTTCTATCTGTCTTAGTCAAGTTTATACGGTGCTGATTGTAATCGATTGTGGTTAGCATTGAAATCTAAGATGTTTCCTGCATTTCATTGACAACTCGTTAGCTGGATGTGCTTAGGTCAGTTAACGTACATATAATGAAATTTATAGATAGATATCGAAACCAAGCTGGGATTCGATAGTTTTAAAAGATTTCAGCAATGCGTAAAAATGATATTTTTTATTTGAGTGTTTTCGATTTTTTTGAATGAAAGTAAAACAAAATAAATTTTGATAGTGTTTTGTTCTCTGAGCTGGACTGTTTAATCGCCGAGCTTTCATTGTTGTTCTAGACAACATGAATTTGACTGGAAAAAACGTGGAAATACAAAGAATGCCACAAAATCTTTACAAGCTTAGCATTCAGATCAGTCGACAGTCAACAAGCACACAGACATTGGCTCAATCTGTCAACCAATAGGAAACAAAAAGACGGTCAAATTTTAGGTCATCTGGACAACCAATGAAAATAAACATGGAGACAATGACAAGACTTTGACAGAAACAACCAATCACATACAAGGCTATCAGGACAAGCTACTAAATAAGGTGCGGAGGAATCCTTGCTACTCACTTTTCCGAAGTTTGTGCCGATGTTGTATGGAATCACAATGAAAGCTTCGCGATTATACAGTCCAGCTCAGAGGACACAACACTATCAAAATTATCGATTGCATACATACATTTACAACCAATCACGTTCAAGGTCAGTGTTATGACTGAATTTGTAGAATCACGTGAACAAGACAACCACACAGGCGAAAATATAACAAATAGGTTACCTCAGGAATATAACTGTCCTCGTTGAAGTATGGAACTAACGCTTTCCCTCATCCTGGAAATCCCTGATCCTTAATCTGACAATAAGTGTTAATTTAATTCTGCAAATGCTTAAAAGTTGAATTTTACAGTGTGACTAATGTTGTTTTGTTGGGTTTTTTCGCCTTGTTTTTCAGGGACCAGATAAACTTTGATCCTGAAAAAAACTCAAAGCATAATTATCTCTCTATATGGCGACGCATAAGTAATCAGAAGCAGGAACCATTAAAAACAAAGGGAATAGTTAATAATAAGCTTGAACAATCAGTACATATTGAACAGAAATTCAACAATATTATTCAAAGAGAACTATTGAAAATGCCTGCTGTACAAGATAAACTCAATACTAAAGTATTAAAATTTTTGAATGAAATTCAACAATTTCAAGAATCAAGTAATTGTGTTTTAATTGATGCATCATTATCTGATGAAATACGCCAATCACATATAATTACACCAAAATAAATTGGCGTTAATTTTTATCGTGAAAGAATTTGATTTCTCACTTCTTGAAAGTTCACTTAATAAACACTAACTTAACATTGTTTTGATAAATAATATAAAGAGGAATATTATTATCAATGTTATTATATATCCCTTGGGTTCCTAATGGAACATAGGGCTTCAGTAGCACGTCCCCAGTGAACTCTGTTCTCTGCAATCTTTTGAACCTGGCTCCACGACAGAGCAGAAGCTCTCACTTCTTCCTCAAACCATCTCCTCCATGTCAACCTCAATTCGCATCTGGGTTTCACTCTACTCCCAGGCCTGGAGCGTGATGTCCGCAATCGGTCTTCTCAGTGTATGCCCAATCCATCTCCACTTTCTTCTTCTGCGTATTTGTTGAGTGATAGATTGTTGGTTGGTTTGTTCCCACAGTTCCTTGTTGCTTATTCTTTCTGGCCATCTGATCTTCAGTAACGAGCCAGCGTATGTGGCAGTTGTTGATGAATATCTGTAGTTTGTTGGAAATGCTTTTCATAACGCACCAAGTCTCTGAGTCATACAGAAGCACTGACTTGACTGAATTAGTGTTGAAAATCCGGATCTTGTTCACGCTTTATGCTGAGTGGAGTGCAGTAGATCCCCACACTGGTTTCAGGCTAATGAACGCCTGTCTTGCTTTTTCGATTCTGACTGGCTTTGGCGTTCTCGTCTGTGCCTGTGATGCCTGTAGTTGAAGCAATGCTTCCTAGATGGGTGAAGGAAGCTACTTCCTTTAAGTTTCTCCCATCAATGGTGATTGGTGTTTGTTGTTGTTGTTGGTTGGGTATCTTCATCACCTCTATCTTCTCTATATTCACTTGAAGTCCCGTCTTCGCTGCCTCTTCTGTCAGCTTTAATTAATTTTCATATCAGTCTGTATAAGACATATTATTGATAGTACTATTTGACTACTGAGATCTAGTTGAATCCTATGCCATAACTAAACGTAATGTCTACACCAAAACATGAGATAGGACAGTGAAGGAAAAGAATAAAATGATTTAGCAAAGAGGGAGTGATGAATGTAGACACTCGTTAAAGCAATAAATGTAAAGCGTTTTGCTCGACTAGATGACATCGTCTTGAGATAGGAAACTTAAAAAAAATAATCCACTTGGATGCTGTAAACAATGCTAAACTGATGTAAATTAATGAATAGATTGAAGCGGAGAAACAGCCAACAGGAAAGTCTATACAGTCTCTCAATGACACATTAATCGAAGGAAACCACCAATCACAGACCATATCGTTAGAACAAGTCACTAAATCACTCACGCAGAGATATTGACAGATCACAATTCATATTGAAGTTAGTGTTGTTGATCAAGTCGTCTAGAAAGAAGATGAAAGCCTCACGATTAAACAGCAACCCAGCTCAGAGAACACAATGCAATTAGGACAATCCACCTGAGCTTCAAATATTCTCCATTATTTCATAATCAACATCGGCAAAGTGATGAAACAGAAACCCTGAGGAAAGAATACATGGTATGAAATGTACCCAAATAGGTGGTTTACACAGAACCTGTGTCCCAGTTATGATCAAATTTTAAACGGAACTCTGTGGCCATTAATATGATACTCAAAAATCATTACTTGGGTTGCCTATCTTCGTAGTGTTCACTTTTATCACTGTTGTTAGGTAGTAAGGTGTAGAGGATGTTCCCTTTGGCTTTTTATCCCCACCTAGCATACGATCATGGGTCAGTCAACTGATTTACTGTCTACAGAACTCCGTTAGCAGTATCAACTTATCAGAATGATAGTACTGTTGCCGTCTTGTGACACAAGAGACAACTAGCCACCAAGTTGTTATGGATTAGGATTCCTATTCAGTTGTGAACTTGATGCCGTCGTAAATGTCAGCGTTTTTCACTTCATTCCTAAGAATGATGACAAAACGTGTCATCTACTTGTCTGATCCAAAGTTTCGTTTTCATCAACGACAAGACCACAGTTTCCAATCTATACATTACTGTTTGTGCGATTACTTCTGATATAGGCGGTCCCTTTGGTGTTTCCTTTGTCGATTTGTAGAGTTTGCTGTTGAAACAAAATATGTTTTGAAGGATGAATCAATAAATTCCATCCAAATTGAACATTCCAGTTATGTGTATTCCGAAGGGTGTGGATGATTGGTGAGGAGAGGAGTCATTGTATCCGTACCCAGTTTCGGTTCAACTGAAGTGCATAGAGCAGTAACGTCGGAAGACACCATTAGTTTATCACTGTCAATGTGAGTATGCTTGATCTTTACCAGAAAGTGTCAGAGAGTGGAAAGAGTGGTGGCATTATTCTGCTAGACGTTTTAAAATTTCTGAAAAAGTTCTTTTGAAAGATTGTATGTTAGGATTCCTGGAAGTGAAACAGTTGGTAGTAGTAGGATGTTTGGTATGTTTAGAAACGTCAGAAAACGGGTTCACTGTATTCCATTCACCATTTGTCTTACTCTACATGAAGAACGTCTGCAAGATCACGACTAGATTACTGAGGCCTTTATGAATCTCTGTCCCTCACAAGCCCACATAATCTCTCTGTTATGCAGACCAGAAGATGCAAAATTAACTGCAAAAACTGTGAAAACGACTACATTGGAGAGAGTGGTCACCCGCCCTCTTTGTAACCACGTACATGAGCATCAACTAACAGTGAAGCGTCATGATATATCTTCCTGATATCAATCAAGGGAAACGGACAACTATGGATATGGATTTGACTGGGAAAATGCGGAAATCGTGGATGGAGAGAGGAAATACAAAGAATGGCACAGAATTTTTAGAAGCTTGGTGTTCAGGTCAGTCAACGATCAATGCAGACATATTGACAGCTACCATATCTACCAACCAATAGGAAATAGAATGAAGGTCAAACTTTAGGTCATCTGAACAACCAATGAAGATAATTATTGAGATAATGACAAGACCTTGGCAAAACTAACCAATCACACAAGGCCATTAAGACAAGTTAGTAAGCAGCTTGTGGAGAAAAACCAATCGTTCACTTCTTTCTGGAGTTTATATTGATGACGCTGTTGTCAAGAGTGACAATGAAAGCTTCATGAGTAAACTATCCAGCTCAGAGAACACAACATCATCAAAACACATCATGTTGTTATTAACACCTGTGTTACTACTACTGATTATACTTTTCTCACGATTTCTTATCAATTTATTGATAAATCCTTTAGGTAGACACTTCAAGAATACCTTCCGTTTCCCAATACTTATCCAATCAACACCAAAGAAATGCAACAGGAATGATTCTGCACCTGTCCTACGTATATGAAAAACTCGTCTATACTCTACGCAAAGAAAGAGAGTGAACTAAGACTATATAAACTCTGTATAGTTTTGATGGGTATTGGTTAGCAGTGAGATCCAGGTTGCGACGGTCTTATATAAGCAATAACTCTAAACCTATACCTGTCGCACAAGAAGTGGCTATCATGGCTCGGTGGTGTAGTGGATGACGCTCTCGCGTTTGAAGCGATCACCCCCGAGTCCGAATCCCGGTGCGAACATCATTTCTCACTGGGAGACAGGTAGATCCAGCTGACGAGTCCCATATAGGACGAGATGCGTATCCTGGATTCCACTGCTAGCCACTACCCATCATCATTATACATAATTAAAACATAGCCAGTTTAGAGGCATCCACACAGAAGCCCATATGCCAAGAGAGACCGATCAGTTCGGTCCAATCAATGACAGTGTAATACAAGCAATAATAATAATATATAAACTCTGTCTCGAAGTCGTGCACTTACTTGATATCAGTCTGGACAAGAAATTGTATCTGAAACGATATCCAGCAAACCATACGGTTTCTTCACTACGCGAAATTTCTAACAAGCAGATTAAAATGGAATTAAAATCTACCAGAGTGCCCAATTTTTACTCAATAATTTAGGTTTGAGCAAGTTTGTGCGATAACTGGGGTAATGAAGAGTCGCACAACTACTATTACTACTACTACTACTACCACTACTCACACTGCAGTGGGCGTTGCTGATAACAACGGATATAAGTATTATATATCGAGAGGGTTGCAGGAATCATAAGGAATTACCGGAAATGGGTAAGGTTTCTGCCATGAGCAACGCAGGGGACAACACAGGCGTATTACAGGGGATGCTGCTGATAAGAGTGTATGAAGAACCGGTCAAGAGCAAATCAAGACAGGAACGGAGAGGAAACGAAGACATTTGCAAATGGCTGCGTTAGTGAAACGAGTACCATATGTAACCACTACCATTCCAATTCTTCCGAATAAACTTTCTCTCGTCGAGTTGTCTTCCGTTTCTTCAACACTACTACTACTACTCATAATACTACTACATTTAGTAAGTTTTGGTTGGAACTTGTAGATAATGTCGAATGAAGTATTCAAAGCTGAATATCCTAACCATATATTGCGAAGTAGATGAGTTGATGGATCTTTTTTGGCCTTGGATAAGTCACACTTGGAGATGTTCTCGAATGCGGAAACGAATGACCTTAGAGTAACGATCAAAATACCTAGCTCCACATGAGTAGTAGAATTGGTAAACGCACATTGAACCAATCAAGCTTTACAACTTATCCTGCACTACGAGGCATATAAAAGGTCCACTGTGATGGATTCTTTTGAGGTTATCTGTACGAAATACCTTACGAATTGATCTTTACAGAATGTTTACCAGAATATCATCACCAGCATCACTCTCGAATTCTAAATTTCAGAACAATTTATTCTTCGAAACAGTACTAAAAGCGGTCTAAATGGAAACCAATACTTTAATTCATCATCCACTAAGGTAGAGGTTTTAACATTTCGATTTTTGGTCCACATCACTGTGTAGGCAGGAAAAAGCTTATTGCACAATATTACTCAACAGCTGACCAATCAGAATAAGTCATATAACGTCCGGTTTGTTGCTTTTATGTGATCATGTGAACCAAATATATATGATGTATTTTTGTTGAATAAAGCAGTCTTCCTTACAGTCACTGGCCAGTCTTTGTTCCCGAATATAATCACGGCTAAAAGGAGTATTTAGCTTCCGATGCAGATCAGTCACTGTTTGAACCCAATCCAAGTGTCGCA